GTATGAATTTTCGCCCTTTTTCCCCCACTGCATCCTCCCGCCCCTCTTCCGCTCCCCCTTTCCCACGAGTCATTCAATCATTTAAGTTTCTGCATGACATCGTTCCCGGAGATATATAGCCTGGAACCTAATTATTACGCAACTCCTTTTTAGATGGGCTTTTACCCAAATCCAAAACCAACATAAGGAGAATATGAAGTAAAATTGTAAATGCAAATTTTTTCTGGTGTGTGGATGGAATCTTTTTACCCCTCTCCTACTGATACCAAAGATACTACACCCTATCGTAGGCTGTACTATCTTTGCTGATACTACTATGTCTTACTTCTTGCTGTCTGTCCTACCGATGCTTTTCAATAGAGCCCAGTCCAGCAATGCAGTAAACCCAATAAAGGCAACCGTGAATGAGAAGATATGTGTGAGTGTGTGTGTGTGTGTGTGTGTGTTTGTACGTGTGTGTGTGTGTGTGTGTGTGTGTGTGTGTGTGTGTGTGTGTGTGTGCGCGTGTGTGTGAGTATGTGTGTATGAGTGTGTTGAAAAGGTGGGGTGAGTATGTATGTGTGTGAGTGTGTGAGTGTGTGAGTGTGTGTGTGTTTGTGTGTGTGTGTGTGAGAGAGAGTGTGTGTGTGTGTGTGTGTGTGTGTGTGTGTGTAAGGATGCAGGGGGGGGGGCTGACCAGCTTGTACTAAGTAAATAGTGAAGCTCAAAGGAAAGAACACAATTACATTGTAGAATAACAATATGATATTATTATTGCCAGCTCCTTATAATTCCTTCTTCGGTCTACTTATTTGCGGCAGTCTTCCTTATTTAATGAAAAGAAACATGATCTGCTCCTCTTGAATATTCTAACCCCTTTTCTTGGCTTTGCTTCTTTCCTCAGTTTCCAGCCCTTTTTTGCCCTAATTCTTTATTTTTCTCTACACCTTTCTTATTCATCTTTCTCACTTTCCATCACTCCCTTTTCCCCCTCACCGTTCTTCTCCGTCTCTTTCTCTCTATACCCTTCTCTCTGTTCGTCTGTATATCTGTCTGCCTGTCTTTAGATTTTTGTTTTTCCTCTTTTTTTCTCTTTTTTTTCTATTTTGCTTTCACCCAATCACTTTGCCTTCTCAGCCCCGTTAAGTGGACCAGGACAGGAGGAACAGGTCATTTGTAAGGTCAAGTATCAGGTCTCGTCCAATGCTTCTAATATGACCAAGAAATGTGGGAGCAGAGACAAAACAAACAAACTGTTAATTCAGACGCATTAGGAGTTTTCACAAATTGAAAAACCGCATTCGCTGTCAGATTACACTGTGTTGATGTTTTCTCAAAGCTTCAAAAAGTAATGAAAGTGTTCCGCAAAATGCCCTGATCCCAGGAAATCTGCTTAGATCCACTGTTTGGAAATTCTTCACGAGCTCTGTATGTCCTGTTCCAACCGTGCTTATTTCGAGCTGCTAAACACACATGCAAACACGCACTCAAGCAAGTGTATATGCAAACTCATGGACACACACACACACACACACACATACATAATATATATATATATATGTATATATATTACAAAAATGCACGAAAATACATCAAGAATCGAAGACACAAATAACACCCCCACCCCCCCCCTTTGCACACACACACGCACACGCGCACACACACACACACACACACACACACACACACACACACACACACACACACACACACACACAAACAAACACACACACACACACACACACACACACACACACATTGGTGGCTTACTCAATATTTGGAGTAGCCCGAGGGCACTAACATGATGCTATAAACAGCAAACCTAGGGACCACCATGTATTCGGAAGACAAGTCGGCTATAAAAACATGGTATAATCATTACAGCTATGTAGCCCTCTTTAAATGTGTTACGTTTGGCTGTTGTTTACTTTAACACAATACTGTTTATTTACCATTTACCAGGTCACATTCTATAAGTTTTACCTTAGAACAATTAAGACAATCGACTATGTGCTGGTGCCTGAGCCACTAGTGAGTTACACTCAGTTATAACTTACATTTGTCCATCATCTGTGGGCGAAGTTGGCAATCATTTTCTTTTTTGTGATCTTCAGTATCCAGCAGGAAAAAGTTCCCTGCGAGTAATTTTGTTAATTTCTAAACCTTCGTTCCAAATTCAATATCACTTTTACGACAGGGCGTAGTTTTCAATAAATTTATAAATTGCGTGTCCGACTGTTGAGTTGTCTGCGGTCTGCCAACGATAACATTCTCGTTTATAAACCTAATAAAAACTACGACATATCGTGAAATAAATAACAGATTCGGAACAAGCCTTTCAAATTAATGAAAAGTCTGACTCCCGGGTGATTCTCTATACTTGTGGGATTATTTTCTTTTTTTTTAAAAACCAAGATGGCATCAATTATTATTGATTTTTTCTCATCACAAAGAACACGGACAACAGTTACTGTCAGTTGTGACTGAACGTGTAATTACCCTCTAAGACTCACAATAAGGAGACTTATTCAAGCAGGTTGGGCTTTCCTCTATGGAAACGTTTGGCTTGGAAGACGTACGAGTTTCAATAATCACCGAACGAGCGTATTTCAAGTTGTGTAAAGCGAACATAATTGTCTTGAAATTGAACAAAATGGAGCGATGTTCCTGATTACTGACGCTATAAACCAAAATCTTTCCAGATAATGATCTCTAGCAAGATTCTGGATTTCTTCGCCAGTAATAATTAAGAGCTCAACCAATACAAATTTCGCTCCCTCGCCGTGAAGAACCTGTGTTTTTTGCTGCTTCCTCCTTTTTATGACCCTTACGGAAGTTGATGTTGGTTCTAAAACTGTAACAGTCAATTCTAAGAACAATCTTGCAATACCGAGACTGCTGATTTACTATGTTATAATGTGATGAAAACTTAAAAACTTGTGTATAGACGTAATACAAGACGAGTCATAAAAATGATTACTACGCAATACAAAGTAAAAGAATTTCCCCCTCTTTCCCACTAAATCTTTATTTTTCAATATTTTTGCCCCAAGCGTATAAGGCTAATTCTTTAACGGTCGATGCTGCGGAGGGAACACAGCAGTCAACATTTACTTCCTCCGTGGAATAACTAACTAACTACAATTAGCGTCTGTAGTGTGTCGGTTGTATGCAGGAGACCCGAGTTCGATTCACGTTAGTGAGAAAAATATTTTAACCAGTATGTCGGTCTTTCTGCTTGGATGTTCTCGTACATTACAAGAAAATAAGCCCCCCCTTCCAACGCCCCCCCCCCTTAAAAAAACCAACCCACAACAAAAACTCACTAATTGGTAATTTAATAAACACTCAAGTCAGTTAATAAACATCCAAATTAATTAAGAGATATATTATTACCCAGAAAATTCAAAACAAATTGCCTAGCATACAAACCAAGCAAAATCCTTCAATCACTCACCTATAAAAGCATCCACCTTCTTGCCAGTATGCGAGAGGTCAGTGACCATATCTACCACCTGCTGGAGACCCTTGCCCGTGTCGCAGCCAGTATCTCTCACAGTGACGCTGAAGTTGTAGCCCAGCCGTCTGAGATGTATCAGCTGATCGTCGTCGTTCACCTTATCCAGGGCAAGGTAGGCTGCAGCGACCACCTCCACGCCCATGCTTTTTTGCCCACTCAGCGGAACCAGGACCCCCATCTGGAAGGTCCTCTGGGACGATGCGTGGCGCGGGAAGAGGACTGGGACGGCGAGGAATGTCAGGAGAGACAGCGCGGGGAGTAGGCTTTGAGTGAGGGTTGAGAGAGTGCTTGAGAGGCGGCGGTTTGGAGGAGTTAGACATGTTTGGAACTTCATAGTGAGTCTGGGGAGGTATACATGTAAACAGTAGTAAGATTGTAGGTTTTACTAACCTGGATTTAGATCTAAACGAAATTAATGAAAAACTGGAAATAAAACTACAGTGACTTCAGACTCCTCAGTAAAACTGTGCACCCTTTTATTGATTCTGAATCACTGTTAATATTTTCAAATTCGAAAGTTAAGTGGTTTGGAAGTTTTAGGCGGCGAAAGTGACAGACTTTCACAAATATGATATGCATAGATTTTCGGTTATTTCAAAGGTTAGTATGATAAGCTTTGTGTTAACTTCCAAAGTCGGGAAGTACACAGTCAAATGAGTGGAAAGACGTTAAAACTAGAACCAACGTGATGCCCACAAGAGTCATTCCAATAAACATTGAATTATTATATCCTAGATCGTGCTTGACTGACCGTCTGCATAGACAAAAAGAGCCATACATACAGATCGTGCCCCGTCAAGGTGCAACTCTTTGCTCTCTAGAAAATTTTCGTTTCAAAGCGTGGGCAAAACACCAGTCTCGCTTTAGTCAAGTGCGCGAGGCACCCCCCACCCACCCCATTTTATTTCTTCTTTTGTGCTTTTTTTGTTGTCACCAAACAGTCAAATGGTACGCGCCACAGTGAACTGGAACTACGTTAGAGTGCACAGTCGTAAATGTTAGACCTATGAATAGAAGTCTATGGTTAATTGTGATGCCAACTGAGCAAATGGTGCCGTAACAAGATGAGACTAGAAACCATCAGATCTCTCCCGCAATGCTAAAGGGGAAAATAGCAACCCAAAATAACAGTATTGATTTTTATACTATGTTAAACAGCAAATTATTCAGCCATTCAAAACCGCGTGTATTCACATGAATACCTCAGAAAATTGGTGCCAAATATGGAATGAGAAGAGAATTGACAGAAAAATTACCCCAAAACTGGCCTTACTCAACAAGATGTGTCACGAGAAATAATCTTTACACGCAATACATTCCTGCGCTTAAAGAAAAGAGCATTTTGTTACTAAATAAAAGCTCAGCGTGTTGTAAATTTAATAATAGCTTTAAACATCTCAGTTCAAGAAAAAATTGAAAGTTAGACTTTAACTTACCAATCATCATCATCATCATCATCATCATCATCATCATCATCATCATCATCATCATCATCATCATCATCATCATCATTATTGTTGTATAATGCTATTTAAACAGTATATAATTATTTTTGAGACTAGTGTTTTTAAAATTAGTTTTTGTTGATGCTTTTTATGTTGTTTTCTTTACTTCTAATGTTATCGTAATACAAAAAAAGTTCAACGTTTTTCCCCATTCAGGCTTCACCTGAAACATAATAAGTAGAAAAACAACAACAACCAATATCATCATCATCATCATGATCATCATCATCATGATCATTATCATCATCCACCAAAATATTGTCGAAAAAGTTGAGAGGGGAAGGAGAGGCCTAACTATTTTTCGGTCAGTAAATATAAATATCGATTTTTTAAAATTTCCATTCCCCCCCCCTTTTTTTTTTTAGAGGGGCGTACCACTTAAATGGTTAGTCGTTAACATCGACGGCTACCTCAAGAGCGACAGAACAGAATTATATTAGGTAATTTGTTTATGAACGCGGAGGTGCAGAGATCTGTACATGTAACGGGAAAAGGGGCTCACAAAGGGGATCTTTTAGTTGGTTACCACACTGTGCCCGGCTTGGCTTAGTGCGAGCCAAATCAAGAAGTTAAATATTTAGAAATCAATGACTGCGTATCACTTGATTTCTCTGAACATGCAAGTGCTCTAGCCTTCTCAAGGTCAAGTGGGATTGCTAAAAGCCGACGGGTTGTTGGTGCTTGAAGGTGGAATAGATACAGGGATTAATTGACGCATTTTGTAAAGTCAGAAAGAAAGAAAGAGAGAGAGAGAGACAGAGAGAGAGAGAGAGAGACAGAGAGAAAGGGAGAGAGAAAGGGAGAGAGAGATGGGGAGAGAGAAAGGGAGAGAGAAAGAGAGGGGGGAGAGAGAGAGAGAGAAAGAGGGATAAGACATAAAAAAAAAAGAAAGAAACAAATAGGGGGGGGGGGGGAAGAGAGGGGGGGGGAGAGAGAAAAAGGGGCTCCAGGAGTAGTTATGGTTTTGTGCACATATTGGGTGGAGCATACTTTGCTCGTTAATCAGAAAATAGCTTTGTTTGATTCTCAGTCGATATTATTTGCACTATATTTTTGGGAAAGGAGAGCCTTTTATGTAGCTTGTTATTGTCATGTGGGGACATGTTTTGCACCTGGGTTCGTTTGGGGTCATTCTGGATTCTGGATAAGAAAAAAGGCATTGAGTTGTAGGGTTTTTTGCGGGGATGGAAGACGTTGGTAGCTTGTGTAAGGGCGAGTAGGTCGCCAAGATTCAGGAGGTTGATGGGGAGCAAAACCTGGACTCGCAACAAAGCACAGAAAAATAGAAGAGTAGCTTGGGAAATGAAAATTATCAGAAAATCACTAAACATCACAAGAAGAGACAGACAAAAAATATAACAACCCAAAGACATCAGATACCAAGTAGGCGTTGAATTGAGCAAATAAATGCATGGAAAGACAATAGATGAGGCGGTTTAAACATGCAATGAGATTGAGATCATGGTATGAGATTCCTGAGTTCAACGAAATACGGTATTGCTTTATGTCAGGAAATCATGGGTCAGCTTGAAACGTTGCTAGCTAACGGGCTCGGTTGAAATCATGACTGGCCTAGCTAACCAATGGCGGATTTCCAAATCGCTCAAGACAAGGCTCGCAATTCCAGGTTCCAGGAGGCTTTCCAGTTTGCCGAAATGTGACGTCTCGACCTCCCTGAGGCCCACCTCATGGTATAAGCTGCAGCTTTAGTAACGTAAATAAGTTAGATGGAGAGCAATTAAGGAAGGCTGAAAGGCGTAGTCTTCCATTTTATTAAATTTTCCCAAAACACGTTTGAGTTATTAATCATTGATATTTTGAACTCTAGTTCGTTTTTGGTGGTGGGCGGTGTTATGAATGAAAGGCCTTTTTGTGGGATAGCTAATTGTAGAAAAATAAATTTTGGCAGTTAACTTTATAAACCTCGATGGCTTGAATGCAATGACGTTTTTTGCGGGTTTTTAAAATATATTTTAATGTGCGCTCGCGTGTGCATGCGTTTGTAGGCATATAATCTATGCATAATCTATATATATATATATATATATATATATATATATATATATATATATATATATATATACATATGTGTGTGTGTTATGTGTCTGTGTGTGTGTGTGTGTGTGTGTGTGTGTGTGTGTGTGTGTGTGTGTGTGTGTGTGTGTGTGTGTGTGTGTAATAGATTATTATTGGTATATAATATTTGTTCATAGTCTCACGTGTGTGTCTCTGAGTTATGCCTGAATGCACAATTATTGTTGTATTTGTGTGTATGTGCTTGTGTGTGCGATGCAAAATCTACACCTCCATTCCTCGCCGAGAATGCGACACCGACTGAATAAAACCTTGAAAGCGAATACACAACTGCATCCTTCACCAACGAGCACTCGATATCCCATTTCAGGCAGCTAAAAGCGAGCTATTTGTGAGAGGGGACTTTATGTGGCATTTAAGCATCTACTTGATTTTGAACACATAAAGCTGAGCCAAGAGCATAATGATTTAAGAGGGAATTTTGCTTCCCCCTTCAACGTTATGTGGATTGTTTGTGGCCTATGAGGTTTTATGTGAATTTTGTAATCAGGCAGTTATCATTTATGAAGTGGTCGTAATGATGCTTCTCTGTTGTTTATTTGTGAAAATGTTAATTTATTGATGGGTACGCTTTTGTATGCATGTGATTGGTGTGTGCATATGCATGTGCGTGTGTGTGTGTGTGCGTGTGTGTGTTTGTGTGTATGTGTGTGTGTGTTGTGTGTGTGTGTGTGTGTGTGTGTGTGTGTGTGTGTTTGAGTGAGAGAGAGAGAGAGAGAAAGAGAGAGAGAGAGAAAATGTTTCTGTGTGTGTATGTGTGTATGTGTGTATGTGTGTGCGTGTGTGGTTTTGTTTGTGATTATTTCTGTGTGTCTGTGTGCTTGTGTGTTTTTTGTGTGTATGTGTGTGCGTCTGTGTGTGTTTTTTTGTTTATCTGTGTTTTTGTGTTTGTATGTGTAAAACAAGATACATTTTTAAACGTATACTAACATGAACGAACATAAACTGAAAAATCCAAAAAGTGTTCCTTGCGGCTAATTCTTCTGCACCCCTCAGAGCTGAAAAGGAAATGGCTCCTTGGGCTTTTAGCTTATCGACATACAGTTGTAAACTCCCCTGATTCAGATTCTATTTTTTAAACTATTTTGAGATTAGTTATGAAACGGCATATGATCGGAAACCTTAGTTTAAAACCCTGTTGGGGGTGTCTGTGACGCTAAGTTTAGTTTTAATGTTCCCTTTTTCCCTTTAGACAGAGTTATAAAAGGTCATTAGGTTTAACTTCTTTTCAACTTACTTGCTCTATCATTTTTAGATATTTCATTGGACCTTTCGAGAATATGTTCAGGGTAAAGTGTTCCTCTGCCAGTTGCGCTTGGCATACCATGTTAAGTTTGATATATAGTCTTCAATTTTCATTAGGAGCTTGATCAGCTCCAGTAAGATCTAGACAATGAGAATCAAATGGCATTCTAACTGCAGATGCTTTAAGCACCCAAGGACCCAATCTAGATAAATAAAGTGGTAGGCTGCGTGCTGTGAGAAATGTAAGGATGCGCGAACTGCAGTAAAACACACTGCCACTTGAAGTGTAAACTCGGCTGAAGATCCTGACATCAGATACATTATGGAAACAATAAATGACTCTCTGATCCCCATTATCGCTCTGTCTGTTTCTCCCCGTGATGTGTGTTTTATTACCATCGTTTGGGATGAAAAAAAAAACTGGTACAAATAAGCTAATAGACAGTCATGATCATCTCCCAAATACACGTAGTCCCAGCTACATCACATCGTGCTCT